TATATGTATGTGTGTATGTATGTACCGTAGAGTGACAGATGGAAGAAGCATATGTAGTTGAATATGTAAAAATCCTCTGAGGTTCAGAACAAACACACATTTCGAACCGAAACCAACATTAACCAATGAACAAGCAGCTGAGTCCCGGCACAAACAACAACGACCATTAAATCTGATCCGAGCCAAAGAGGGAAAAACTGTCCACAGATTCCAAGTGTGTAACAGGCATTGAAACGATATCGTCCATCTGTGAAGAACATTCAGAACCTGAAAGTTGTGGAGAAAACAGATTTCTTTCAGCCAAACATTTTTAGTCACAATGAAACTGGCAGCAACAATAATCGAAGCTGAGATGTAGAAATCTCTTTCTCCTTTAAGTGACAAGATGTTTCACGGTGATAAGGAAGAAAATCAAAGGCCAAATAAAATCAAAGGCTTGAAACAAGTATAGAGTGAAAGAAAGCAGAGCTTTAGATGAGAGTGTAAGTAACGCCACTACTACCACTATAAGAATAAACATAACAATGACTCCACACGTCTGCTGTTTATAATTCAGTGTTCACCAAATCAAAGCTTGCAGTCGAGGAGTCCTCTCACCCTGCGGAGACGTGTTCACCTCCTCCTCCAACTCTCCGCCTACACGGGACAGACGCAGAGTTTACTTCATCACAGGAGAAGTTGAGAAAGATTAAAAACCTGCACTGTCACACATAATCACATTCCTCTATAATCCTAAAGGAGGTCACCTGAGTCTCTCCTTTAATTAACAGTCCAACGCCATTTTCCACATTAAAGCTGCAGACGACTCAGGAGGAGGAGGAGCGTGGATCATATAGTGACCAGTTCTTTCACTTCTTTATTGTTGTTTCATTACTTTTAAATCGCCAACCTTTTCTTTGTGCTTGTTTGTTTCTGTGTCCTCTCCGTCCTTGTTGCGTTGTTGTCTTTGTCCCTCTCGTCTTTTACTCTGATCCGTCCATCTTTGTTCCTCCCTTCGCTCCATCAGAAAACCCATGTGTACAAAAAGACCCTGCAGGCTCTGATCTACCCCATCTCCTGCACCACGCCCCACAACTTCGAGGTCTGGACCGCCACCACGCCCACGTACTGCTACGAGTGCGAGGGGTTGCTGTGGGGAATTGCCCGACAAGGCATGCGCTGTGCCGAGTGTGGGGTAAAAGTGCACGAGAAATGCCAGGAGCTGCTGAACGCTGACTGTCTGCAGAGTGAGTAGACGTATCGAACCACCTGAATCTCAAAGAGCAACGCGGACTTACGGGGATTTACTTTGCTGTTTTTTCTAACCTCCGAGACGCATCATCGACCCTCTTCTTCTGTTTCCTCCCACCATCTTCAGGAGCAGCCGAGAAGAGCTCCAAGACGGGGGCGGAGGACCGGACGCAGCACATCATCATGGCGATGAAGGACAGGATGAAGATCCGCGAGAGGAACAAGCCCGAGATCTTCGAGGAGATCCGGAAGGTGTTCGACATCTCCAAGATGATCCACGCGCAGTACATGAAGAGCATCAAGCAGAGCGTCCTGGACGGCACCTCCAAGTGGTCGGCCAAGATCACCATCAACAGTACGTCCAACGCTTTTATACTTTTGTCCATTGGTCCGGCTGACGGGGAGTCAGACTGGAAATCTGCTCTTATTTGTTCTTAAAAGATAAAAACAACTTTCAATGAAACCATCGATGAATAAGATCCATTAATTATTCCCTAGGAAACTGTTGAAAATGCACATCTCACAATGTTAAAGACAGAGAAGTGTCTGGATCCGATCCCTCGGTGCAAATTCTGTTCAGTCGTTAATCTGCTGACAAACAAGGTGAGAACACAAGAAAGCTCTTTGGAGCATTATGACTGTAGACGTCAGAAACTCACACAACTTCCGCTGTTGCCAAAGCAACCAGCAGACACATCGCACCGTACAGTGGCGGCAGCGTTGCCATGGCAGCCATCACACCTTGTCTCTCCGATCAGCGGTGATGAGCTCCGCTGAAGACGAGATCCAGGAGCTTTGTTGAAATGCATTCACGGTCAGGGGGTTGATCTTCACCACTCGCTGTCCTGCTGATGAAGGTCAGATGAGGTTCTGTGTCACAGTCACAGAATTAGACCTGGAGCTGAGGGCATCATGACATCATCACCTCTGTCTGTCGGTTGTTTAGATTTTTGTTGTTGATCAGCGGAATTACACAAAATCAACACTCGGGATTTGTATGAAACCTGGTGGAAGGATCCAGATTTCCCAAAGAATAATTCCTGAATGTTTAGTGAGTGAAATTTGATGCAGCTTGATTTAAGGGATTGGTGAAGAATGAGCTCCTCTGAGGGATGTTCTAGTTTGTTTGTTTGTTTGTTTGTTTGTCAGCAGGATTATGAAAAACCTCCACAAAGATTTCCACAAAATATTAAAAAAAAAGAAAAATGTTATTACTTTTTATGATATTTTTCCAATTTCTCAGGAAATAATTAATGAATCTTCATGGAAAAAAAAACCTTCACAGTGGCAAATAAGAATCCACATTAAATGGAAATAAAGTTGGTTTCATAAAGGGGAAGCTTTCATTCAGTTCTCCTCATTCTCTGCAGAGGATTTATGATTTCATTGGTTAAAGACGACTGTTTGACAGAGGTACGTCCTCTGTTGTGTTCTAGTTTGAAATCTAAAGGTGCGGAACAGAACGACGACACTCTTCTACAATAGTGAAGTAATAGAAATGACGAAGCAAACATTGTTTCAGAGGAAATATATAAATCATGCAAGCTGTTTAAAATGTTCCCATTTTTTACTTTTTTCCTCACACTGGGTTTTTCTCTCCGCATCAATCAGTCGTGTCCCTCATGTGAAACAATCAGACGCACTTTTAACTCAAACCCAGTTTTATATGTGAGTCAAGTTGCGATTGAACTTGGTGCTGGACTGACAGTCGCTCTGCTCAGAGCGCTTTGAAAACTCTGTCGACTCACGAGGGAATATCTGGTCTGATTGATATTCAAATCTCTCTTTAGCACAGATGAGATGCAGCAGTCGCAGATGCTGAATTAACCAATGGCAAAGTTACTTTGGACTGAATTAGAATTCTGTATTTCACCGCATGACCGTCACGTGCAGGTATGTTAACGAGGAAGTCTGCAGACGTGGAGATCTGGGTTGGATTCGTTGGAGTGGTGTTAGAGATTCACCCACATTCAACCAGTGCATCTAGGAAGTGAACCGCTCATGAAGCGCTGGTGTCGCCTGCATCGAACGCGACTTTAGTCCGGTGACTGCAGGTCGTAGGTAAAGTGCACGTGTTGCTCGGCTCGTCAGGCTGCAGCTGTGGTGAAGATGTGCAGCTATAAATAGTGACACTCATCAGTATCAGCTGCAGATCACTCGCCTGCCTCCTCACCTGGATCAAAGCAGCATGTGGGGGACACATCCTTCAGTTAAACGTCCTCCTGTTGAACCCGTTGTCCGTCCATCTCAAGGAAATGTCTCCAGACTTTAGTCAGCATCCGTCCACACGTCTGTTATTGTTTATAAACACGTTTCACTGCTTCTTCTTCTCGAGACCTTTGGCCGCAGCTTCCCGACCCGGCCTGACTCCCGTTCTCTCGGCCGCGCATATTTTGACTTGTTGCAGAAAAACGGTGAAAACATCAGTGTTTTTAAATTTGATGAGGAATACAGTTACTCAACATCTGGCTGTGAGTCAGGAGCGCTGTGTTACGAGGGTTTTATAACTCTGTGGGCGGATTCTCGTGTGTGTGTGTGTGTGTGTGAATGAGAAACAGAAAGATGAAGGGGAGAGTAGGTGTTTGTTGTTCTTATGTAATTGTAATAGTCATTTTTGCTGTTTGTTTGTGTGTGTGTGTGTGTGTGTGTGTGTGTGT